TAATAATATCTAACTACTAAGCCCATCTTGTCTAGTGATTCTTCTAACTATAAAGTTCATGTCTTTGAAACTTGCAGAGATCACCGGTGGTAGGAATACTGACGAGGCACGATTTCATGTCGGAACATGTACTGGGATTGCATCCATTGCTTTTCAGGAGCAGGTGGAAGAGGTTGAGGTTGCGGCTCCCACGGACTCTGAGCATCTTCTAAAGAGGATCTGATCCTCAGTCCACCGCAAAGGTTGTACATTTGTAGTTTAGAGAGGCAGAGACTGAGAGGTAAATATGTGGAGTTCATTTCTGGCAACTAATAATGTCAAGCAATGTCGGTTTCAAAGTTCACGCACCATTACAATTTCCCTTCAAATTCATGTTTCTATGTAAAGGCATTGGTTTAAAAGACTGACCAGTAGAAAAGCTTTTCATGACGAGTGAAGTTTCGTCGCGTCGAGCTCGAGAATCAGGCCATTTAATTCCTCGTACGTCACAGGGAACGGCCGGCCGAGGACAGATCGAATGAACGGCCGATAGCGCGGGCCAAGCCCGCGGAGGATTCTGCGCACTAGTTTCTCGTCGGAGACAGGGAGTCCAACAGCTGCAAGCCGATCCGCCAAGGCTCTCGCTCGCCGAAGATAGACAGTGGCATTGTCGGAATCACGACCCAAATCACAGAGCTCAGCAGCGGATGACCAGATCGGGCGGGAGGTTCCGGTGCGGAAAGCTGCTACCAGCATCGTCAGCGAAATGCGTGCCGTCTGGGTTGCCAGCATGACGAGTTGCTCCTGCCACTGCGCCAACCCCACCGCTGCCGGATTGGGTTCGTTCCCTTCGAGTGCGAGGATGGGTTCGCCGTCGTCGGACTGAGGTTTCCGGTGTAGATAATTGTTTGCCGTTCGGATTATATAGCTGTTTGCTGTCAGCGCAACGTAGAGCTGGATTTGGGGATTCGGCAACCGGGGGATGGATGGATTGCGAGACTTGAATAGAACAGGGACGATCTTTCGTATCGGCCAAGTAATGGAGTTCCCAATAGCACTGTCTATGACATCCTGCATGTTTAGTCACTCGAATTATTCACACGAAACCGTTGAATTATTCACCAAACAAATATGAGAAGGGATGAATAGTCACGAACCTCTAGAGCATCAGATATTCCAGGAAGGGGATTCCACAGATTGATTGTTCGCACCGGGCATGTAAATGAGTTCACAATAGCATTGCCTATAATATCCTGTTAATAGAAATTAAAACGATAAGTGGTATTGGTGATTTGATTTTTAGGTGACACAATGAGTTCAAGATTAATTACTGAACCTCTAGAGCACCAAAAAGTCCAGGAATTGATGTGAACTCATCGCCTCCAATTTCAAGCTGAGAGTCGAGATTCTTCTGCACAAATATATATGCGAGGGCACATCGTGTCAACTGAGTATTATTTTTAGGTTGTCAACTATGAGAGAGGTCTGTAACTAAGCAATTAGAAACTACAAGAAAAACTAATTAGAGATGTTGCTAATTAACCTTTTGTCTCAGAGAAAAACGAATGTTCCCCAAGCGAGGAAGCTCCTCAAGCGTCGGCTTGAAGATCAGCCTGAAAACCCCAGTGAATCCGATATCTTTCACCTGGACGTATCAACCGAACGATGATTCCAAAGTCGAAACCTCCTCATAGCATCCGATATGATTTGTTCTTAAAATTTTAGAACTACAAGTACTATAATGCAAAAAATTAAATTTATCAAGGTAGTAAAAAGTAATTTTCCCGCCCAACATTTTCGGGCGTGTTTATAAAAATGTCAAACTTTAGGTCTTAAATTATAAAAAGAAATTTAAAATTTCCTAAAAATTCATGCTTGGTCAGAAAGCTTCAGATTAAAACAAAAATCATACAATCTGAAATATCTAATAATTGCAAACGTATGTTCAAATAATATATTTGGATTACTATGTATTTCAAATACCACTATTTCATGTTCAAGATTACAAATACATGCATTGTTAAATACCTGTACAGGCAGTGAAATACCGGCAAACCTGGTCTTCAAATCAAGAACTATGTTAGGGCTTCCATCCCAGTTCATTTCCAACTCCACAGTCATCCCAATGCTATCAGAATCCAGAATGGAAATTCCTAAATGGTATATGAATCACACACAATAAGTATGTATTGTATCATAGCTAATAGAAGAAGAAGAAGAAACCAACCTGTGAACTGAGGGGCAACTGTGCCAAGAGTGAAGATGGAGAACTTGAGAGATGACAGAACCATGGCCGGCCTGTGTAGCTCAAGAGTAGGTTCAACAGACTTCTTTATCAACTCAGTTGCCGCCTCGTTGATATAAGGCCAGACTATGGTCAGATAAGAGTTTAGCCATTTCAACTGCGTCAAAAACCCAGCCAAAATCAGGGAAATCCCAACTGTGGATATGGTTAATCACTTCACCTAACCTTTTGGGGCTTGGAGAAGTCCACCCAAGAAGGGCAATAGCACTCAGAACTCGTCGTCGTCGCCACCCTAAACAGCTTCCTGCAGTCCTCCATCGTCATCCTGGCAAACGCTGTCACTGCTGCGGCCTGAGAAACATGATCACTACTCCATCAGGAAAAGGAAAAGGAAAAATAAAAGATCAAAGACCAAGGTTATGAATTCAAGCTTGGGGTCAAACAATCATCACTGACAAGTTCCATTCGATGCTGAGATCGTGCATTCTGTGACCGGAGGAATGCAACCACCAGAGTGAAACCGAAAACTATACCGGCGACTAAGCCAACGAAGAAGGACATTTCTTCAAACCGGAAGCAGAACAAGAAAGATGAGGTGAAGTTGGAGAAACTGGGGAAGGAAGAAGACTATAAGAGTGGACATTCTCATCAGTCAATCAGATGCTACTGTTCAATACTATTCATTAATGATGCAACTACCTAGTACCTTCATCAGAAAAGGACCAGAGAAGAGCAGACTTTTCTTTCTGTACGGAGGCAAGTTTGCAGCTTAACAAGTCAACAGACTATCTTTTTTCCTGGGAGAAACAAATTATTCTTTTGGTCCACAAATTGGTGCCAGGATTTTGGATGTGTGTCAAATGCGGAATCCAGATACACAATACAATAAGGGCAACTACAACACAGTAACCAATTGGTACTCCATCCCGAAAATAGGGATGGTGGAAAGGGTATGTCGTGCCACTATATGAATAAACCTGCTAAGAGTGCGAAAAATATAAGACCTTTGAGTGTCCAGCAAGGCATCTAACAGCTCCCCGGTCTGTAAAAGAATTGCAAGTATGAGCACATTTCTGGAAACCAATAATGTCAAGCAATGCCGGTGTATGTGTTCCATTACACTTTTGTATTCATGTTTGATATAAGCCAAGGTTGAAGGAGAGCTCTAATCTTTATCCAAAATGGATGAATAAGCTATTTGGTCGATTCCGAGATCGAAAACTTCAGAGAACTCCTTAATCAATGACTTATAAGCAGTCTCAATCAGCTGAGTATCATCATCTAAACCCAGCAATGACTTGATGCTGCCAACCCTTCTATCCTTAATCCCACAAGGCACTATCGATTCGAAAGGAGCCAAATCTGTGGTCACATTCAGCGCAACTCCATGGTATGCTATCCACCGAGAAACCTTCACCCCGATAGCAGCCAGTTTCTGATCGCCTGAAAACATAATGGCAAAAGTTTCACGCTTTCACTCATTCATGATCTCACACAAGTTCATTCAGAAGGCATAGCAAGATCATACCAAACCACACTCCAGTCAAGCCATCCACTCGGGAAGCCTCGATAGAGAATGCCGATGAGAGAACACGAATGATCACTTCCTCGAGCGCCCTGAGGTACCAATGAATGTCCATCTTGTGGTTTCGGAGATTGACGATTGGGTACATAACTAACTGTAAGTGAACACAGCAAACATCATTAAAGCAATTGACAGAACTGAGAGAAGCCTGCTGAAAGTTTTCAAAGACAGTTAGTTAGTACCTGTCCAGGTCCATGATACGTAACTTCTCCACCTCTCTCGGTTCGATAAACATCAAATGGAGCATCATCCATGTCGAAATTAAGGTGCTCTAATGAACTACCCATACCCAAAGTATAGACAGGATGGTGCTGGAGGACAATCAATGTATCAGGGCAATCCTGATTGGTTTCAATCAGAGCTTTTTTCTCTGCAACAATGTCCTTCTGCCACTTCCAAGCTTCAGCATAAGGGACTAGCTCCTTGTGCAAGTCATGGAACTCACACGTTCTACCATTCCTACCTCTAATTGAGATGAAATTGGAAGTCGTTAGAGAGGAGGGTTGGCGATTGGAGCTCGAGATTCGGCCGGAAGGAATTGAGCTAAAGCATGAAAAAGCTCCTGCTTGAAGAACCATTTCTCAAGCGACAAACCAGAAATTTGAACAGCAGAAATTCATCAGCTCTGTACGAATGAAGAAGACATTTCATTAGAAGCGTAGCAGAATTCGAGCGCTGAAACAGTTAAAGTAGAAATATTTTCCAGATTCTAGAACAGGGTTTTCCATTGGTGACCATGGAGTTTCACCACGCGGCATTTTGATTCAGTGATTACACTATCTCGAAGAACAATGGAGAAGATCGAAAGGAAACAGAACTACCTGAAGAAAAAGAGCCAGGCAAGTTGCAGGTGAAGAATTAGAGAGGAAGGAAGATTGGAAGAAGAATTGAAAGTCGACCGTGGCAAAAGCGAAGAAACCAAAGACCCACCAGAATACTACAGCTAACAGCTGGGTATTTGAATTTTTCTTTTGTATGGAAACCTAACAGCGAGAAGAAGTGAAGAACGAGGAAGGGTCGAAGGGAGGGGGCAATTACAGAATTGATCACGAAACTTTGAGATCATTGCTAGATTTATCACTGCACTTTGTTTTTTTAACAAATTTGTATCCACTAAAAATTCGGAACAACTAACCATAGTAGTCACTCTTCGATATTTGCAAATGAAACAAGTTCATTGGTACCGAAGTTGGACGACTGATTTGTTCGCGACTCAGACAATTCGTATTAAATGTAATAACTTATCAAATTGGTTTTGGTACTTAACAATATTGGCTCTAATTGACTGCAAAATGAGCTTTGGCCAAACTAGAGACAACGAGAATCCAAAGCTTGCTTGAAGGCTAAGAATAATGTAACCATAGACAGCCAAGCTTCTGTATCGAGCTCAGTCAAGCCAATGATACAATGCCCCAAAAATGGGAATCAACCTTTGGCAAAGCGAAAATACAAGTCTGTTTGTACAATGTGGGATGCTTGTGCAAGGAAAGAAGATGCTCATAAGACTCCTGACTCGACTTTCTTTCGTTTGTTTTACTGCGACATGATTCGTGTTTCTTTCTACCCTCGCTTCGAACTCTTGAGGTAGTCAGCTCTTATCCCCCACAGCTCTTCTCCCACAGCTTTCATATCAGGCCTCTCATGCCTAACGGGAGCTGCACATCGAATCGCCAAAGTCGCCATCTTTCTCAATATGCCAGCGTCCACAACTTCCTCCATCAAAGGATCCACCATCTCCACCACAGCATTGTCGTTGTACTTCTTGAATGCCTGCAAAATGAGTAGTTCAAACCTTCAACACATTGATTCGTCAGAACTCACAAGGTTTCAAGGAAACTTGATTCGTTCGAGCTAAAAAGAAGATTTACCCATCTAAGAGTCACTCGCTCTGGAGCAGGTCTCTTTAGCTCCACAGGACGACGGCCTGTGAGGATTTCTAAGAGTAGTATCCCAAATGAGTACACGTCGCTCTTAGGGGTGAGCTGATATGTCTTCATGTATTCAGGATCGAGGTATCCCACCGTGCCTTTGACTTTGGTGGAGATATGAGTTTGGTCAGAGTCCACCGGACCCAACCTCGCGAATCCAAAGTCAGCAACTTTGGCTCTCATGCTTTCCGTCAGAAGAATGTTAGACGATTTCACGTCTCGATGGATGATTTGTTTCTCTGTCATGGAACTGAGCATTAGGACTTGCATAGTCATTATGGAACTAAGTGAAAAAAGTTAAGGCTTTCGATCAACCTGAATATAGATGGAGATAAGTAAGAGCATGGGCAATATCGATGGCTATCTCAAGCCGTTGATTGAAGTCCAGAATTTTCCCACGCTGACCATCCAAGTGTTCTCTGAGGGTGCCATTTGGAACAAACTCTGTGATGATAAGGCGCTCGTGTCCTTTATCGACATAACCAAGTAACTTCACCAGATTTCGGTGATCAATTTTTGCCAGAAGATCAACCTCGCTGCTGAATTCTGTTCGCAAGTTTTCAAAGTGTTCCTACACAGTGTGAGGCAAAGTTAAGCAAAATAATGTTCAGGACAAACGGGATTGAGCTAATTAGAAGGAACACAACGAACATGGCCTACAACAATTCCTGAAGAGAAAAACTGACAGTTGGGAAAAACTATGGAACTGTGGAAAAAGATATCGTTGATATAAGCGATTATAGTACTGAAACTGTTCAGCATCCCCGTTTTCGTACAAGCATTTCACCTGTTCCTATCTCCTACAACTTCACCAACATCCTGTGAATTAGTTAGTTGCTGTTACTGTCTCTGATATGGGAAGCTTATTTACACCAATCATGAGAGGAGCCCGCGTCCATTGGCAACATTTCCATATAAGTTGTACCATGGAGGACTTTTAACAAAAGAACACTACACCTGTCATGTGATGAGCAGTCCTTAATCTAGTAAAGAGCAAATAAAGGAAGGTGTTCCAGGAAAATAAAGAGCAGTCCTTAATCTTTTTTTGTGTATATTAGGAATAGGTCAAAAGACTATTCATTTCAGGTACCCACTTGAGTAACTACCAAAATGATGCATAGTAACAGCAACAAAATAATAGGATTCTTGTGCATCATATACTTGAAAAAAGATACTCCGCTAGTCAAAAGAGAATGATTCGAATTTAGGCAAATGTTCAAGGTCTTACCTTTTTAGCTCTTTTAATGGCAACTATTTGCCCATCATCAAGGTGAGCTTTATACACAGTTCCAAAACCTCCTTCACCTACCTTCAGTGACTGAGAGAAATTACGTGTAGCTCTGGCGACTTGACTAGGGCTGAGATGAACTGACCCAAGTCTAGAAAGTTTAGGGGACGGTGAGAATCTAGAAGGACTCGGAGGCACGCGAAGTGGACTAGCAGGCACTTTATCATGAACAGAAGGCGGCGCATCAAAGGAATTAACTGATTCCGCTGCAGTTGTAATAACATGACACCATTTTAGAGACAATGAAGCTAACTATCAACTTAAGCACGGAAAACAGTGGACTTAGCTCTAACTATCAACTGCTAAGCATGAAAAAGAGTTCCAAAAGACTCACTTGAAACTTGATCCTTGGAAAGAACGGTGTGGGAAGTAGCCTTCCTTCTCTTGTATATACAGGGGCAGAGCACACCACAACACATCGCAACAATTCCAGTTGCTATTATCCCAATGTGCTTCGAGGAAAGAGTATTACTGGGATCTTTTGCCTTCTGTTCTTTGGCTACTTCTTCCTTGAACTCCTTTTGTAGAAGTTTTCTTGCTGGCTTGTGATGTGAGTTACCTGCACCTCTCAAGTAACACTTAAAAATTAAGGAGTATCTTCCAAGCTACAATGGACTACAAGCAAGCATGATCACCATTTAAAAAGAAACAAACCAATATACTATCAACAGATACCTGATGAGGACCCCGATTGACAGAGGCTCACGAGGTAGTCTTCGGCAGGGATGCAGCCATTCGCTATGTGAAAACGGAGGGCCTTGCATAGTGAATCTATCTCTACAACACTTCCATTAATGAGGAAAACTCCATCATCCACATTATTTGAATATGAAATGCGATCAGCACCACAAACCCTTGACTGAATCCCATTAGACCCAGAGGCATATATCTGTTGAAACTGTAGAGCTAACAATAGGCTCAATATGGTGACCATCACTTTTAATGAAATGAATCTCTCCATAACAATCTTTGATAATGATCTAAACATATTGAGGACATCGCTAGTTTCAACATGTGACGACCAAAACTAAGGAAGAAACAACTGAAGAAACCACAAATCCGGAGCTGCCCATAAGGACTTAGGAAATCAAACCAAAGAATTCTGCAAACTTCCACACGGAAAACTCAATCTTCAAAGATTACCAAGGGACCTGAATTCAAGTCAGTCTTCAAACTGAGCTCCTGATTGACTTTTCCCCCTTTCCTGGTCAGCTCCAGGCCAAAAACCTCAACTCAAATCCCAGCAGCCGCCCCCTGAAAATTTTAATCATATCCCTTCGATTGATTACTCATCGAACTGACATTGCAACCAACAAACCCCACTTGCTGCAGCAGATAGAATCAAATTCAAAGCTCCAAACTTGCAACCCTTTCCTTAAAGCTCAACGAATCCACCCGCACCCAGATAACAAAATCGCAGAAGAACACCAACCCACTTAACAAGAGGAGCTGGGAAGAGCAAAGAATTGAGTTTTTTAGTTCAATTCCACTTCAGTCCAGAATTAGATGGTGGGCAGAGAAGAAACAAAAGAGTTGGCGGATAAGGGAGAGGAAGGTGGAGGGAAATTGTTGCAGAACAGCAAGAAATCGAATTGGAAACTAGGGAAGGAGAAATAAAAGAGAGGAAAATGGGGAAGCGTGAGATTGACCGGCCTGACGTTTGTTTGAAAGGAAGAAAGAAATGGAGAAGAAGAGAAGGGGAAAAAAAGGAAGGGGGGAGGAAAGAGAGTTAAGACGATGGTGGTGGGCTCTCAACAGTGATGTGTTGCAAGTAAAACCTTTTGGCCGTCTGCGGTTTGTGGTTTTAATTACTTACAAGAAAACTAACCAGTGGAAATTGCACAACTAAACCAAAGTGTTGAAAATCCAGCCATTCTCCAAGCTTTGTACAATTGTACTTGCTCAAACCAGCTTTTGTTTTGACTTTTCAATATAAAAATGATATTGAATTCCTCTTGTCAAACACACATATATTTTACTAGCACATCTAGTATATAATATATACGATTGTTTTACAGCTAAGGGTGATTTAAGGATCCACAAGGCTTTTAGTTTAGTGGATATTTCAATGTTCAATCATTTTGGACTTTGATATTGGTTTCCGATTAAAATTTAAAACAATAGATGTTGTTGCCATGCTTCAAATAATCAAATACCACCTAGAATAAAGGTTTTCTTTTAATTGTACTTTCGTTGGTTTAATTTTTCATTTGCAATGCATTGATACTTTTATTAATCGTACATTTGAGAGATTGATGTTCCAACGATTGTTTAAGGGATTGATACTGATGGTGCACGGACGGTGTGCTACTAAACTGACACAATCACTTATTTGAGGGCTTTTGTAAGTTGTAACGAACATATCAAGATGTATAGACATTTAGTGAGGGAACTATCGGTTATACCAAGAGGATTGGGATCAACGTGCGAGGCTAGCCAGAGAATAGTCACAATCCACCATAACTCCGAAACATTTGTGTCCCTGATGATATACGTAACCATGAATTCCTTGCACAACCAGGGCGGAGGTAGCGTTAAACTGGGCGGTCTTGAAACCCACATCGAATCTCGATCATACACACAAAACTAAGAGTACGTAGTTGAAAATGAGAAGTTATAGCTATAGCACCTCATGTCAATTGAGAGCATAATTAGAACTCTGCAATCCCTCGACCATTATTAGTGGATTTCTTAGCTCATAAAGACCATTTTTCCACTGAAATTGCATACTCAGCCAAATATATTTGATATATTAACTATTGTTTTATGTAAGTTTATTAGAATGCTGGATTCTCTGAATGTTAACTTACATTATGTCATTTTGAAAAAAAATGAAGAACAAAACCAACGAATCTTGTGGACCACTAATGCAATAATAATATAAAAAATAAATCATGATTCAGACGACAAGAAATCGGTCGCATAATAATTGACAAGATACCAATCCTAATGTGAAACCTAATTTCACGTGTCCCTGAATAATTTCCTCAATCTGACCGACTTTGAATTAATAAACAAAAGATAGCGACGGACGAATATACTCCAACAAGTCCATGGGCCTAAACTATAGCCCATTTTGCTCTTTTTTGGGCTTTACAATTCTGCAATCCCTAGACCTAAACTCATGCACATTTGGGCTTACGCAAATGGCTCACGCTTTGGTGGATAAAATGATTAACCGCGCTTGTTAACTTAAATCACACTCCAGAAGCGCATTTTAGCACAGATCCCAACCTTCGGGAAGATTAGAACTCAGGACTCAGAAGTCCGCCATTTCCCAATTCAGAGGTCTGAAGTTTCTTGGCGCTCGTTTCGACGAAGGAGATAGTATCATCTTCCTCAGGAAGGAGAAATTCTGCAGTTTCCTGTCCGCCGGAAAAGCCTCAGTTATGGTGAGTCTTCCAGTACTAGCTGATCTCTACCGTTTTTTCATTTCCGTTTTCACCGCGCCTGTTTGGTTTCCGAGAAATTGGAATTGCCGCATCAAAATTCGGTTGACGAGCAAGCTGTTACGAGCTGCGGTGATCTTGCAGGCGAGTTCGCTGCGGCTGTATTTGACGTGCATAAGGAACACCCTAGAGGCGGCCATGTGCCTACAGGTATTGTTTGGAATCGAGCTCCATAAGTTCATAGTTATGCGGGAGTGATGGATTGGATTTTGACGGAGTGTTTGATTTGGCTTGCAGAATTTCCCTTGTCAAGAAGTCGAGAGGCATAACAAGCCAGAGGTTGAACTAAAGTACTGTTTGTTTGCTTCCTTTTCCTTTCTTTTCCCCGCTCTGTTGTTCTATTGAGAATTTTTTATTCTGCTGTAATGAAAATGGAATTGGTTGTTGAGGGGGAAGCACAATAAAGGATTCAGTGGTGTTATGCAACGCTGTTGGTAGATTAGTTGGTTTGGTTGTGATATGATTGGCAAATGAGTGCCACTTTATAATAGGTGTTGATAAGTTCCTTGTTTGTTTCAGGACAAGCTCTGAACTTCTGCTGAATCCGGTAAGGTTCTTGCTCTCACTATGTGCAATGGTGGGGCATGAGAAATTACATCTCCCTCTATATTGGGTTTATGTGATGAATGTGTTTGTTTACTATTACAGGTTTTGATATGTCGAAATGAGGCTGAACGATGCTTAATAGAAACATCGATCAATTCATTACGACTAAGCCTTAAGGTAAAGCAAAGGGGTCTCATTTAATGATATTTGTTCATGCACTCAATTGGTGGTAATGAAAATTGTAACATGCTGCATTTTGGTAGGTTCGCTCACTAATAATAGTTTTCTGCTCATATGCGCTTTTGCACCTTGGGCAGGTGAAGCAGGCAGATGAACTTGAGAACATACTGACGAAAAAGTTCCTTCGATTTTTGTCAATAAGGGCAGAAGCATTTCAAGTGCTAAGGCGAAAGCCGATACAGGTGAGTGGGGAATTCTCTTTTTCAGATTGAGACTGCTATTAGGATTCGGTAAGATAGTAGATGATATGCAGACTCCTGTTTTTTCTAAAATTTTCTTTCTGGTACCTCACAGGGTTATGATATTAGCTTTCTTGTCACAAACTACAACTGCGAGGAAATGCAGAAGCAAAAGCTCATAGATTTCATCGTGCAATTCATGGAGGTAATAAATTAAACCTTGGCCTTCTCTTTCACTCATCATTGCTATCTGAATTGGTTGTTAGAAGATAATTGTTTGGTCCTACTCAGTTAGCTAGTTGATCCGGAGTATGATTATCTAGATGCCGAGGGCTCTCTTTCCTTGCTTTCCTGGTTACTCGGGAGAAGGTTCTGTCAAAATTTGCTTGACCCTACCAAAATGTATCCTCTATCTCTCTCTTATTTCAGCACAAATTTTATAATAAGTACATACGCAGTAGCCTGTCATTTGAGCTTTTTGAATGTCCTCTGGGTATCTCTGTCATTCTACCCCATTTCATTCGAAGAAATTTCTATTAGAAATCAATTGGACAACACTTTCTTCAATAGCTCAATACTGGCGGTACAGTCTGGCCTCTTGATAATCCACAATATTTCCCTTATGTGCCCGTGTTTCACAATCTTGGCAAACTACAACGGAAAACATGTTGTGGCTCCCTCTGTTTGATATAGTGCACCATCTATAGATCATTATCCTTATATCTTACACCATGTGAGTCCTTCTGAGTTCTGACCCTTTTGGCTTCACCTGAGAACATAACCACCTTCCATTTTTTTTTCTTTCAAACTACAGGATATCGACAAGGAGATCAGCGACCTGAAAATGTCGGTGAACACCAGAGGGAGGCTGGTGGCTACAGAGTTCCTGAAGCAGTTCCTTTGATCATTACCGAATTTCTGTTCTGGATTCCACCGACGCCACTCAACTTGATCCTCACAAGCATGCAGCCTTGTTCAAGCTCAAAATAATTGAGGTAAAATTGGTAAATCCGAAACCGAGATATAAATCTTCCCATGCTCTTTATATAAGGAATTATGTACCTTAGGATCAGAAGCATGTAAAAATTGAACGATACACATTGAAACTATATGGCGAGCACGGTTCTTGCGTTTATGAACAGGAGAGGAGAGGAAAGGGAAAAGAGATAAGCCTCTTAAGAAAAAGGTGTAGTGAATCAAATTTCTGAGTTTAGGTAGCTTTATTCCTGTGTTTGGTTCTCTCATCAATCAAATCTCATCATGTTCGTTTGAGAAGTGCTGGGACATCGAATCTGATCTCTTTCTTCAACCTTCCTTCTGTTGGCTGTCCTAATTTTCTAACCTATTCATTGATTCAACATTAGTTGGGAATGGAATCACGAGCCCATGTCCCCCATATTCACATGTCCATTGCATCAGCCACTTCTTTCCTGCTCTGCACTGTGGAACAGGAGGTACGTGGATTGTTGGGCACAAATTGAATGTATATTATTGCTGTGTCTTAAATAGAATGATAACTAATTGGGATTTCAGTATAGAGTTTAGGTGGTTTGTTATCTGAAAATGAATAACAATGCGCCTCGTAAGGATTCAGGACTTTCTTTTGTTTGCTTGTAGGGTTCATCCTTCTTTGTAGTGTGATGTGGTGCACTGTTTGCAAGGTCTTGGGGAAGGTTCATTAGTAGTCGTTAGGAGGTCACTATACCAGAGGTGTTCTTTAGTCAATTTCAAGCGAAAGGTTTTGACAGGTCATACGCTTGAATAGGGCTGGGAAACTGGGTTCGATTTTTTCGGTTTAAACCGAAAACTGTGCGGATAAGAATCTTTTCAGTTTCAGATTTTTGGTTCCTAATCGGTTTGTATTTTAGTGGTTTCGGAACCGCAAATCGATGAGGAACCGAAATCGAACTCAAACCTTGCTCTAACTGAAACTATTACAAAGGGTGCATTGGTTTCGGTTTGGCCTAACTGAAACTGAACTTGTTGAGGGGCTTATCGATTTCGGTTAACCAAAAACCAACAAGCCTCTTATCGGGTTCAGTTTTTGGGGAACATTCTATTACAATTTTTTCGGTTTTTAATGATTTTGGCTCGATTAACCGAACCAAACTGACACCCCTGCGTTGGAACAACGAATTTGGCTATTTTGTTGAATGAAGTTCTTCGATTTGTGATCGGAGTTCCTGTATCTTGCAAATGGGATGCAAGACAACAGGATAAACAAATCGAATACCGCTACTCAGTATGTGCAATTGAGGTGTATTTACATTCATTATCAACATAAGCACGCCTACTCTATTCAACAGGCAAATCGAACCATGTTGATTGGAACTAGCTTTGATGGTTCGT